ATGGTTGATGAAACTCAAAGCTATCAGTTAAAAGGAATTAATGAATACTTAGTACGCACTTTAGGTTCTGTGATCCTCAATTTAAATCTAGGAACTGAAACTCTGACAACCAAATTCCAGGTAGTTTATGATAATTTTCCAATTCCTCACGAAGGAATTTTGGGAAATCCATTTCTCACCGAACATCGTGTTGCAATAGATTAATATTCATCAAAGATCTTTCAACTCAATACCGATCCTCTTACACTTTTGCCGCGTTCAGAAACTATCATTACAATTGCTAGCTAAAGACCGGAAGGAACAGTTTTAGTAGTTCATTCACAAAGTCTACAAAAGGAAAACGTTCGTCTAGGGAATGGGGTTAACACAGTTAAACAAGGAAAAATCTTAGCTACTGCCATCAATACTTCAGAAAAGCTCATCACAATACCCGCTAACCTTTAAAAATCGAAGAAATCGAGTATGAGGAATTCCGCGAAACCTCAATGCTGATTGCAGCAAATACAAACGAAATAACTGATGATAGGCATCGCATTGATTGCATTCGGGAGGCTATAACATATCAAGAATTAAATGCAGAAGAATCAGATAGTCTCTGGAAGGTGATTGGCGAATATCCGGATATTTTCCACCTAGAGGGAGATTCATTTCCTTCTACCGATGCAATACAGCAAGAGATCCATCTAAAGGAAGGCGCAAAACCTGTTAATGTTCGACCGTATAGACTGCCTTACGCTCGCCGTCAAGAGATTGTAAGACAAATGGGAGAATTGGAAAGCCACAGTATTATACAGCCATACGAGGAATGCACCACTGATCGTGGTCCCGAAGAAACCAGATGCTCAGGGAAACCCAAAATATCGAGTATGTGTAGATTTCAGACGCCTTAACGAACTGACTATTGGAGAAGCATACTGCCGCGCTAAGCGAAAATAGGATAACTCCATTTTTCGTAAAAATGAGATTTTTGCTCCTATAGATAAAATTAGTGGTTTTACGCCGATTTTTGGTGTAAAAATAGCGCATTTCCTATTAAAAACCATCTTAATAGGCAATTTTTAATAAGAAAATATGCGGTAAATCCAATATATTAGATGTTTTGTAAGTGAAAACACGGTTTTTTTCAAATACTAAGCAAAAACACGGTATATCACATTAAAATGATGGAGTTACCACGTTTTGGCTTAGGATCATACGTTGGAAAAAAAGGCTATTGACATATTTTAAATTTTAGTCA